TCTTCTTCTGATAATGTAATTTGTTCGTCCACTTCTTGTGTTTTGGGTACTTCTATTTCTCTGTACTTATACCCTGTTCCTTGTGTTCTTTCAAATATAGTTATTTTCTTTTTGATTATTTTCCTTGTTCGTACAATTTGTCCTATTTGTTGGAGTTTTGAGTATAGTTCGTTTATTCTTCTTTTGATTAAAGTATTTTCGTTATGACCAAATCCTTGGAATTTTTTGGTAAAGAAGGCTTGAAATGTGTTAAAGATTACTTCGTTTCCTACTACTTCGTTGAACATTAAGTTGTTTTTCTTTTATTATCCCTAGGGTTTTTACTCTATTTAATTCAGGGTTCTTTTGAATGATCTTTCCTTTTGTTTCTTTTTGTATAAGGTTTTGGTTTATTTTTGTAAAGTTTATTCCTTCCTTTCGGATTGTTTCTCCTAGTGTTTCTAATAGTTTGGTGTTCTTTATTTGTAATTTTATTATCAGTTTTTGTAATTTGAATAAGTTTACAGGGTTAATTGTTTTGTTATAGAGTTGTGTTTTCCAAATATTTAATAGGTATTTTTCAAATACTGTTGGTGGAGTTTGTATTTCTTCTGGAACCTTTTCTTTAATTATTATTTCTTGATTGGTTTCAGTTAAGATTGGTTCTTCGAGTAATTTAATTACTATCCCTTTGTAAGGTTCTTTTCGAATATACTGTGCAAAATTATTAAATTCTTACTAAAATAAAAAAAAAAATCTTTCATCAAAAAAAAAAACTCCCACAAGAATATATCATAAGGAGAAAAATACCAACAACTACTAAAAAAACTATACAAATAATTAAAACAATTGAAGAAATATTAAACTTTCTTCAACAACCATACAAAAAGAAGAAATCTCTCTTCAAAAGAAAAAACTTACTATTAAAAATCAAATGAATATTTTGATTATTTTAGTAAATACAGTGTACTTAAAAATATTTATTAAATTAAATATTGTAACAAATTTTTCAGAATAGTCAATATATATATTTATGCAGATTGAACCCAGATATTATTGATTAATTATTATTTTGTTCTTGTATCATAGTATAATATATTTCCTTTCATAATAACAGTTCTTGATGTGTGCCTTGTTTATATACTTTACCAGGACCCCGAGCAAACTATGTACAGCTAAGATTTTTAAAAAATCTTAACAAATTACTAAAAAAGTAAAAGATCTGTATAAAAATAGTTAAAAATAAGCATATATATTACTAAAAATAGTAAAGATCTGCAAAAAATAGTCAAAAATAAGCAAAAATAAATTCTAACCTATCTATGTATAGCTTGGGGTCCTACTTTACTATCCTTTATCACAAATATAACATCCACATGTTGAATTGTTGATAATCTATATATTATAGCCAAAGCTTTTTTAAAAAAAAATTTAGTTAATTTCGTACAGGTCTAACCAAATAATATATTAGATGCAGTAAAACTCACTTGTTCTGCCTGTGGTAGCAGTATCTAAAGCCTTTTGTATAGCTATTTCTGAACCAAAATCTAGTGCTGATGTTGCTTTATCTAATAATAAAATCCTAGGATTTTGAATAAGTGCTCTTGCAATTGCAATTCTTTGCTTCTGACTATCTAAAGGTTGCATTCCTTTTCCACCAATATAAGTATCATAACCATCAGGTAAACCTATTATAAAATCATTATATTTGCTTTATGACAAGCATTTTCGACATCTTCTTGAGTTGCTTGTTGTCCTGATTGATATCCAAAAATCATATTTTTTCTAATTGTCATATCATATAAAGATGGTTCTTGACTAACTAATGCAATATTTTCTGAAGATTACAAACATTTAAGTCAGAAATATCTATTCTATCAGTTTCAACTTTTCTATTAGCTATATCATAAAATCGTTTAATTAAACTAATAATGGTAGTTTTACTACATCTTGAAGGACCAACCAATATAGCATATTGACCAGATTTTATGTCTAGATCTATACTATTTAGTACTGAAGTATGAGGTCAAGTTGGATAACAAAAGTGTACATTTGTAAATTTTATGTGCCCAATAATTTTAACGTTTTTACTAATATTAGACCAGATATCAATTGTTGAAATATATTCAATTAGTGATATGATAGATACAGTAGCGGATCTTGCTTTGGCTATATTAGGTGCAAATACAAATGCTCAGTTAGCAGACATTAAACCAAATATAACAGTAATAAAGACAGTAAATATTTTTCTAATGTCATATTCACCAACAATAATTAATCTGCTACCATATCAGAATGCTAAAGTATTTGTTAAAAAGATAACACTTTGTGCAACAAAAAAATGATTAAAATTAAAAATATATTCTTAAATCCTTGACATATTGGCTTATCAAGTATATTATGGTAAATTCGTAATATTCTTCTTCCTGGGTAAGTGCAGCAACAGTTCAAATGTTTTTAATGCTCTCACAAGCAAATTGAGCAAATCTTTCATATGCCTTTTTAGTTTTTGTTAGAAGCTATTTAATATCTTTATACAAAGAATACCTGATCCAATCATCACAGATATATAGCTCATACAACTAAAGCAAACTTCTACGCAACTATAAGAACTAAAATCAATCTACCAAAAACTGTAAAAAAAAGTTGTAATAAAGTATCTAAAGTGGCACTAGCCAGACTATTTAAATAAGTAGTATTCAATGCTAATTCACTAGTCAGAATACCTGTAGTTATATATAAATTGAAAAAAAAAAATTAGTCAGAATCAAGCTATTGGAATGATTAGAATAGAAAATTTTATTTATATAACAGTATTTATTCTTTGAGTAAAAAAAATATTTCTAAGTTAATTATAAATTAGTATTGATTTGGTCTCTTTTTTTTAGCATCTAACTTATTTGTCCAAAATTTGAATTATTTAATTTTTTTTACAATTTATATGAAAAATAATCATGATATTGTATTTTTGAACTCATATTTAAGAAGTTTAATTATTACTAACCTGTGGTATGCTTTTCTTCATTAAAAAAAGAAATATTTTGTCTCAATATTAAAGCAAATGTTGCTGAGCAAACTCTGAGTAGAAGTTTTTTACCAGAATATCCAAATACAGTACCTTGAATAAAGTTGCAAATTAAAGTGCTCACTGCAATGACTAAAAACATAACTGACTAAAATTTAGCATTATGTTTTAGTTTATTATTAATTTTTGTAAATAATTGAAGAATATTTAAAAAGATAATAGCAAATATTAGATATATGCAGCCATTTACAATCGAAACAAATAAACCTATAAGAATAAATAAAAGTTCTGAATAACTAATTTTTATAATCTTTTTGATTAGTTCCAATGTTGTATATTTATAATCATTTTTTAGATTAGTTAAAATTAATAATGACATAGATTTATATTTATGTTTTTCAATAATTTCATTTCCAGATTGAATAAGAATTTCACTATTTTCATTATTTTGTTGAAGTTGTTGACATTAAAAAGATTATAATATGTGCTATCTTTAGCTATTAGTTTATAATGACTACCATATTTTATAACAGCTCCTTCATTTATTACAATAATTTTTTTAGTATTGTAGATGGTAGACAATCGATGAGTAACAATAATAGTCTAAAGAACAAAAGTTTTAAACTATGAAATATAGATCAGACAGTTAAAGCTAAAATATATACCTTAATTAATAACTCTAACAAAAACAGATAAATAATGCTGGGTAAAATGTGGTAAATATGCAAATGTCCACTTCAGCTTTCAAAACAAATATTTTTAACTCACAGTTCTATTTTTAAAGGCTTTATTCAACATGTCTTGAACAATTTTTTTACTTTGAGAGTCAAGGGCACTGGTAGCTTCATCTAAATATAGTATTTTTGGGTCTCTTACAATAGTACAAGCTATAGCGATATATTGTTTTTAACCTCTAGATAAGAGCATTTTGCCTTACCAACCATTGTTTTATACTGATTAGAAAGTCTTACAATAAATTCATCAGTATTAGATATTTTGCAGGTATTTTTAATTATTTTATATTTTTCCTCCACAGACAAGTCTTCATATATTGGGCCAATTAATCTATGTACAATATTATTAACTAAAAAATTATTATTAGCATCAAAAATGACTTATAATCAATTATATCAGTTTGCTACAGATCTTGATTTTCTGATAATGTTTGTTGGTTTGGTATTTTCTAGTATTGCTAGTATTGCTATAGTAATTTTATTTACTATACTTTCATAAAATAATCAACTTTGACAAACTTGCAAATTAGTCTTAATATATATATTTTCTTTGAATTGAATAGCCATTAATGATAGTTATTTATAGAAAATGGTAGATTACCTTACTCTCATTCAAAACTATGAAATTTCTAAAGATGAATTTTTTTACCAAATTAGCAAGTACTCCTTGTATTTAATATATATTACAAT